ATTTTTTAAGATATAAGTTATTTTCTGTATTACACTCATCAAGAGCTTTCATTTGAGTACCCACATGCATTTTGATATATTTTTCATGTATACATATATATAATATATATAAAATATATGAAAAATTGATGTGGGTACTCAAATGAAAGGTCTCGATGAGTGAAATGTCGGAATGAGCTTATATCTTTAAAAATGTCAATAGTTCATAAGATACAAGGTCATTTCTTGAGGCAGAAGTTCAAATCAAGACCTTTGCAATGACACTAAATTTCACTAAAAAAAGCAATTTCATCATATGATTATCCTGAACACAAAATTTTTCTTATTCTCTTAATAATATAGATTATTCTTCAATTTATAAGTCTACAAAATAAAAAATAATATAATAAAAATGTTCAATTTACTGTGCCCTAAAAGGGCTTGCAGGGTCAACATTACAAAATTTTTTTTCTCTAAAAAAACGATCTAAGCCAGGATTCAAGCACTGATCTGACTCCAATCAAAAGTGGAAACTTATCGCTCCTAAATCCAGTTTCCTACAAATGAACCTCATTAAGGCGAAATAAGAACCTTTAAAGTCCCCCTAACTCCCTGCTGAGTAAAAAAAACTCGATTATTCAAACTTTTTAACTTTTCCCTCTGGCTTCAGCTTATCGAGGTTCTTATGTAAAAATTCACCAATCAAAAGAACACAATTGTATTTTCTTAAAACAAAAAAAGAAACTTTTTAAATAAAATTTTGTTAATCTTTAATTTTCCTAACGAGCCAAAGAAAAATTATTCTTCAAGGATTTCCTGCCAATCCATTCAATTTACCTAATAAAATTTATTTTAATTCATCAATTTCTTTATAAAAAAAAATATCAACAAATTTATTTTCTCCATAATAGTCAAAAATAATTTTAATACGAATAAAAATATATTTTTTCTACCTCAATAAAATATTCTCAATACAAATAATTTTATTTTTATCAGCGCGGAAGACTTTAAAAAGAACGTAAGACATTTTATATAAATTCTAGCGAATATATACCGTCTGGATTTCTGGAGAGTGAAAAGGCAGAGGTAGAAAAGAGCATATAGAAAATTTAACGGTTGCCAGAACGACCTGGCCGAGTCAAGGATGTCTAAGGCAGAACCGGAAGAGCAGCACATTGGCCCCGGAAGCCAAAAGTTCGGCATCGTTGGACCTCAATGTTCGGGTGCATTGCCAGATGTGCCTGGAGCCCCTTTGAAATGGATGGATATAATATTCCTCTGACCATTACCGGGATAATTAATACCTTTTGTAATACTCTTTGTTTACGATAATAATTACGAATTACGATAACGGCACGCTGGTATCAAGTATCTTGATCAAGATACTCCACTATACCTTTCACTTCTATCAGCGGAAAGTTTGTTCTGGTTGGAGTTTTGACTCTGCTTCTGGAGTATATTGAATTTGGCATGCCCGCCAAATATTCACAGTCTGCTGGAGTCTATTTGATCGCTGGGAGCTTGAGGATAATCTATTTGATTGAGTGCAGAACGGAGTTAGAGAACAGTCGCTGCTGGGAATAGTTAGTAGCTCCAGTAGTTAGTAATCAGGAGTCCAAGTGACAGAGACACCCATATAATCCTGCGGTATGGCTCCAGTATGCTCTATTGTACGGCCCGGTTCGGTATATCATACTTATGTGATCACTGATCATGTTATGCCAATGTGTATCAAAGGGTGATTATTTAAGCGACGATAAGCTGCCCATCATATCCCTGTTTATCATTCAAGGTCAACAATCATGACGTCAGAGATTCGGATTTAGATTGAGGATCGAGGTAGATGCACCTAACCCGGAGCTCGCTTATTATACCAGTCGGAGTACCTTCTCACGTACTGAGTTGAGTTATTATAGAAAGTAGTAGCGAAGAAAGTCAACATACGGAATTACCGTTGGGTTTTTGAGGTCGGATACTTGTTTGTTTTTTTTTCTCGAGATTCCCAACGTCATTGCCGGCGTCATCTCTCTTAATATGTTTTCTACATATTTTAGTTTTCGCGGAAGTAATAATTATGTTATATTAATGACTAAAAATTGAGGATAAATTTTAATGAATGAAAAATGACTTGGTTTAAATTTTACACAGAAAAAAATATTTCTGTTCTTGATATTGGAAAGAATTATAAATTTACAAGACTACTTTTTTGTCTGAAAAATTGGTCGAATTTTTTTAGATAATTGTTATTTAATTTGAGTTAAGCTATTTGTTTTTTTTTAATAATAATATTAATTAATATTGGATTTTTTGAGTAAAAAAATTAATATTCTAAATTGTTCATTTTAATAAATTTTTGAATCAAAATAAATTTTTGTTTGGATATAATTTATATTTTTTCTCTGAGCAAATTAAACTTTAAAAATTAATACTTGCAATTTTTAGTACTATTTATATCGACAATGCAATGCATAGTTTCATAAATTTTTTTTCTTATTATAAAAACCACAAGTAAGAAAATATGTTTCATAAAAATTTTCTTAAATAAAATAAAATATATTTTTAAATCAAAATTGGATTTTTTTGAGCTGAAAATTTTTATTTAAATAAAAATTTTGTCAAAAATAAAAGAAAATTAAAAAATTTAGTATATTTACAGCTTTAAATTAAAATAACTTTTGAAAAAGTAAATTTATCGAAAAATTATAAGAGATTATTTTGTAGAGCGCTCAATTTTCTATAAAAATATGCATTATGCTAGCTGATAAGCTGCTTCTAGAACAGAATATGAAATTTCAAAGTTTAAAACTATATTTTCTCATGTTATTCAAATAAAAAATGGAAAATTTCAATTTGCGACCTCTAAATATTATTAAGGACTTAAATTTTCACCGGACCTTCATTTTGGCATTTTTTGATAAAACTTTAAGATTATTTGTAAAAATAATTTATTTTTTTTTTAAAGAAGATTTCTTAATCTCAAAAGTTCCATTAAGTTTGACTATTATTTGTTGATTTATCACGATAGAAAATCAACGAAGCAAAGTATCGACGTGTTATTTTAAGCTTCAAATTTATAGAAGTTTAAATTTCAAAAGTTTAAATCGATCGGTTCCAATTACCAAAGTTCATTTAGTATCAGACACGATCCAGTGAATAACATTAAAAACGTATTACAGTTTCTGATAATTGATAAAGAGTTTTTAAAACTTTTCAGACGATAAAATATTTTTTAAGACACCCTTTTTAAGAAGCCATAATCGCAATTTACCGAGGTATCTATTTTTGTCACGATAAATATTACATTCAGCCAGAAGGGAAACTTCTGAAGCTTAATTTATTTACTTTGCCTATGTAGTATAAAGATAAAGTAACCAAAGTCTCAGGAATCAGTACATAGACAGACTCTGAAAAAGCTATGCACATCGAAGTTTTTATACTTCAGTTTCCAAGTACTATAATATAACTACAAAACTGATTCCGTATATTTATCCAAATAATTTCATTATCACAAAGTTACACAGTTTAACAATTCGTCTAAATCTTTGCATTCATTTTGCGAATTTAAATTTTAACTCCTCGGTATAAATAAAACATTGATTCTGCTTTATACAATAGCGAAAATTTTTCACCGTATAAATTCAATCTAAAAAAATGTTATTTATTTCAGTCTTTTCACTTTGAAATCTAGGTATAACACTTCTTTGTCCAGGAGGGTCAAATTCTCTCTACCCAGGAAAAACTAAGACAGATACTTTTTTGAGTCCTTTGATCCTCGGAGATCACCCCGAAATCTGGTTTATCTTTGACGTATGCCACTCTTAGAATTCACAATTCCAGCAATAACTTTTCCTGTGACATCTCCGCATTTAGCAAATAGTTTACGATTTTTTTTCTCTACAATCTTAATCTAAAAGTGATAAATAAAATAGCTTTTTTTGTGAAAATTACGTTAGACGTCATCTAAAAATTTATAGAATTTTTTTTGTAGAAAAAATTATTAAAAGAAAAATTTCAATTATAAAAAAACTTGAAAAACTTTAAATTCAATTTTTAAAAAACATTTTTTAGTTTATAATTCAATAAATAAAAACAGAAATAATAAAAATAGTCGGCTAACTTTCGTATTATCTTTTTTTTTACATAATACACAAATCAGCTGACATCTAAATTGTTTATTTGTATTTTTATTTAAAAGTAATTATAAAAATGAATATTTTACAAAAATTTGCACTTTTAATTTAAAAAAATTTTTAAATGTAAAATTTTTTGATAATAATTTAAAAAGTTGATAGATTGTTAAGTTCAGTATTATTTTTCAACCAAATTAAATTTTAATTAGTCTTCAAAATAAATGAAAATTAATTTAGAAGACATTTGATAATTTAAAAAATTTTTTTTTTAAATAAATTATGGCTAAAAAAATTGGTAAAAAAATTGACATGCAGAAATTATCAAAAGTAAAATATGCAATTTTTAAAAAATAATTTTTATTTTAAATGTTTGTTAAAAAAAATTGAAAAATGGTTAAATGACAGCTAATTTTAATATCATTAAAAATAAATAATAACAATAAATTCATTACATTCAAGCTAGCTGTTACTTGACAATTTTTTAATTTTATTTAACAAAAAGATTTGTTCAAAAAATTATTTAAAAACAATTGCATTTTTTATTTTTTTTAATTTCTAGATGTCAATTTTTTTTCTTATTTTTTTTTTTGCTGTAATTGGTTTGTTATAAAATTTTTAAAACTATTACATATGTGCTACGTTAATTTTAATATAAATTCTCATTACTTTTGAAAACACGCGCTAATTAAAGCTTCAAACAAAAATTTCAGAGAGCGCCAGCTCACGCGAGAGATTAAAAACTAAAAATGCGCACGCACCACTGATGTGTTCCTCCACGTATGACAGACTGACCTAGCCTAAAATACAAGTACAAGTGTAGCAGATAAAAATACGGCATTTAGAAATTAAAAATTAATAAGTTTCCATAAATTTAAATTAAACCCATTAAAAATGGTTTCCGTACTAAACACAGTGGATACCGGGCACGAGGACATGATCCACGACGCCGAGATGGATTATTACGGTCTGAGGTTAGCGACGTGTTCTAGCGACAACTCAGTTAAGGTATTTGATCTGAAAAACGGATCACAGAGCCTGGTCGCCGACCTGAAGGGCCACGATGGTCCAGTTTGGCAAGTCGCTTGGGCTCACCCTAAATTTGGAAACATTCTTGCATCCTGCAGCTATGACAGGTAACCTTAGTTTGATAACAAGCATCAAAACAGCTTGTAGCTTTACAATACCAAAATTGAGAGAAATCTGATAATTTTTAAAATTTTTGTCAGCAGTTTAATATAAAGAAAAATTTATTTTAAAAAATTCCACCTTTAGAAGCTCTAAAAAAATATAAATGCAATTTTTTAAAAATAATTTTCTAGACTTAATTTAATTAAAAAAAAAATTCCACCTCTACAAGCTCTAAGAAAATATAAATGCAATTTTTTAAAAATAATTTTCTAAATTTAGTATAATTTAAAAAAAAAAATCCACCTTTAGAAGCTCTAAAAAAATTTTAATGCAATTTAAAAAAAATTCCACCTTTCGAAGCTCTAAAAAAATATAAATGCAATTTTTTAAAAATAATAATGATATTAAAAATTTAGCTGTCACTTGTAAAATTTTTTATTTTTTTTAACAAATAAATTTATTCTAAAAAATTATTAAAAAATTGCATTTTTAGTTTTTTAAAATTCTTAAATGTCAATTAAAAAAAATTATATTTTTTTTTGTCACAATTTATTTGTTAAAAAAATTCTTAAAATTATCGACTATCTGCTAAATAAATTTTCTAAATTTACTTTAATTTAAAAAATAATTCCACCTTTAGAAGCTCTAAAAAAATATAAATGCAATTTTTTAAAAATAATTTTTTAACTTTAGTTTAATTTAAAAATTATCAAGTGTAAAATAATTTCAGTATCATTTTAAATTCACCTTATTCATACTTATATATTTCCAGGAAAGTAATGATTTGGAAAGAGCTAGGAGAATGGAAAAAAATCTACGAGCACACAAGCCACGATTCCTCAGTGAACTCCGTAGCGTGGGCCCCCCATGAGTTCGGTTTGATTTTAGCATGCGGAAGCTCTGACGGTTCAATTTCAATACTTACCAACAACGGCGACAGCTGGAGCACCCAGAAGATTCCAAACGCCCACACAATCGGCTGCAACGCGGTCAGCTGGTGCCCAGTAATCGACCCGACATTCGACGCAGCTTCTCACCAGAGAACCGGCACCGTAAAACGCCTCGCTACCGGCGGGTGCGATAACTTAGTAAAGATCTGGAGAGAAGAAGGAGATCGTTGGGTAGAGGAAAATAAATTGGAAGCTCACAGTGACTGGGTAAGTGATAGGTACCTTTTGGAGTCTTGGATCTTGTTTAATTACTTTAAATAATTAATTCTTCTTTATTTATTTATTCTAAATTCAGGTTCGAGATGTCGCGTGGGCTCCAGCAGTCGGTCCACCACGCGCTGCATTAGCTTCTTGCTCGCAGGACAGGCGCGTGGTAGTGTGGACCTCTTCAGACTACGCCAGCTGGAAGCCCAACGTGTTGAATGTCTTCGACGACGTTATCTGGAACGTCAGCTGGTCGCTGACCGGAGGAATCCTCGCTGTCAGCGGTGGAGACAACAAAGTCTCACTCTGGAGAGAAAACTCTGAAGGACAGTGGTCTTGTATTTCGGAGCTTAACAAAGGCCAGGGTAACCTTAACAACGCTGACCAACGGGTTCTCTAATTCTCACATACTAACCTACAATATATCAATAAAAATGTATAATAATTAATTAATGATTACCTTTTAATAATTATTTTTGTTTTTGATAAATGTACGCTGTAAGTTTAGAGAATAGATTCTGGTTTTTATTATTGTACACAATCGGTAGAAAATTTATTTGTATATCACGTACAGCTTCGGTAACTTTTATTGTTTAATTTAAAAGTTTCTTCTCTAATCCTGGGTGTAGAGCGAAGCCGTGAAGACAATGTCACGCTTGATAGCTGTGGAAGCTTCCTCCATTTTTTCTTTTAAAACAGTCTCACCGATTCTATTTGCCGCTGTTTTAACATCCTTCAGTGTGTCGTTTAATTGCTGGATGCAACGGACTATAATACCTTCTTGGACTTCTGTAAGTTCCATTATTTTGGCAAACGGCTCTTCTCGAGCCCACTCATAAACAACTTCCACCAGACCGAAATTAAGTGGCTCGACTGTTTCCATTCCATATTGAAGCTCTATAGTTTCTATCTCTTGACGGATGCTGATTATTGTTTTCATTGTCTTTAAAAGAACAATTACTATTAATTAATTTGTACTACTTTAAGATTTTATTATTGAAGTTATACTTTTAGTAAATAAATTAATAAAAATTCTATGTTAATTCAACGACTTTTTTTCGACTAATTTTAATTTTTTTATTACAAAAATATAATCTATATTATTAAGAGAGAAAGCAAAATTTTGTGGCCAGTGTATTTATATGATTAAATTTGGTATCGTTGGAAAAGTCTTGACCTGGGGTTGTCCCTTTTCATGGTTTCATATCATTCTCACAAATGTCTTGTGAACTATTGACATTTTTAAAGAAATAAGCTCATCCTGATATTAGACTCAATAAGACCTTCCATTTGAGTACTCACATCATTTTTTCATATATTTATATATATTATATATATGTATGTATGAAAAATATATCAAAATGCATGTGAGTACTCAAATGAAAGCTCTTGATGAGTGTAACATCGGGATGAGCTTATATCTTGAAAAACGTCACTAGTTAAAAAAGTACGATGTAATTTAACAAAAGTCATTATTTAATAAAGCTTGCTGGTAGATTTTAAACCCAAAAAATTTTTTATAAAAGAAAAAATCATTATTTTTGGCAAAGTCAATAATGAATCGTTAATATAACATGAACTATCCAACAAATTATCAACAAAATAAATGGCAAAAATAATTACCTCTTTAAGCACTGCTAATTTAGGCTCCGGATCATTGTCCATCTTCTGCTGGAACACCAGAGCAGACAACAAAGCAGCAATCTCAGCTGGCTGTAGATTGGTTAAAATATTCCGATAAACCAACTCCGTTATCAATAATTCATGAGTGCCCATATCTAACGCCACTCGCCCTTTCAAAGTTACTGAAAATTTAAACAAAAAATTCCAATCAATCCCCTTCAATTTAAATAAACCAATCATTATAAAATAAAATTACCTCTATCATCAACATCAATGTACCCCAAAGTCTTCAAAACCTGAACCCTGTTCACATACTCGGGATAAAGCGCGAGACTTTCATCGCTCAATTGGAACTGCAAATCATGTAGCCGTTGTTCAAGCTCATTGCGTTCAAAGACTGCTTCAAAGTGCTTTTCCAAATTAGGCATCTTGGAAACTTTACTCTGAGCAATTCGCTTCTCCAGCACTGCTAGATATTTAGACCTAGCTACATGATCAGGATGAGATACACTGGCCTCAACATAAGGCTTTAAAATTCCTGAATTCTGATTAGCCATCAGCGACATCGACATCAGATCCTGAAGAGCTGCTTGGCACGTCGGACTCGGGGGGTCATTTTGGAACCTTGAGATCTTGCGCTTCTCACAATCCTTCAAAACCAAACTACAATCAGCGCCAATCATGCAATTGGTAATTTCATTGATATGCTCAGACTTGATCGTCAAAAACGCGTGAGAGGGCACGCCTTCAGGTACAAAAATATTCCTCTTGGTCAGTGATAGAATCCGGTACCAATTTTCGGGTTTGTTCAATTTTTCCTGAGACTCATTTGAATTTTTCAAACACAATACATTGTACTCGCTTTCCGTTTTCTTCTGATTGACACTCAGCAGTACAGCCAGTTTATAATAATGATGTCTGTATGAAATAATCAGTACTTTTCCAGGAATCAAAGCCTTGGTGACTTTCTTCCCTTGGAACAAATGCGGGCTGAGTTTAATCCAGTCAACAATATACTCCATGGCTAGTTTATAAAAGTCAGACAATTGTTTTTGAAATTCAGTCTCCGGTGGAAGTTTCGCCAGCGCTTCTTCCACTTCAATCAGCTCAGTCTTCCTCTTAGTAGTATCAGTAATCAGCGATAGCTCTTTAAAAGACCTGCGCATCATATCCTCGACACTAACCGACTCACTGACTCGCCTCAAATTCAGTACCATCGAGTAAGTAATTTTAAACTGAGACTGTAGGTTCTGCGGTTCGCCGCACATCATCGCTTTCAGGTCCATAAAATGGGGCACCTCTGTCTTGCACATTATTATTACAGTACCCGACTTGTCGTGTCCTCGGCGTCCAGCACGTCCGGCCATTTGAATGTACTCCGTAGGCAGCAGCCCGCGGAATTGTTTCCCATCAAATTTTCGTATCGAATCAAAAACAACAGTCCGAGCTGGCATGTTAATCCCCATCGCAAAAGTCTCAGTAGCGAACAATAATTTCACCACTCCGTTTTGAAACAATAGTTCAATTATCTCCTTCAAAATCGGCAGAATTCCGCTGTGATGAACCCCGATGCCTCGCTCCAAGAGACTCTCCATCCGCTTGATCTGAGGCAGCTCCCGATCTGCGTCGTTCAAACGTTTAATGCATTTTTTAAAAAAAGCTCTCACGTGTCCTTTTTCAGTTTCTGTCGTCAAACAAACCGAAGTCAAGGAATCTGCGTTCATGTCACATCGATTTCTCGACAAGGTGAAAATAACTACAGGTAATTTTTCATGTTCTTTTAGATGAGCTATAAAAGCTTCCCACATTGTCTTCTCTTGCTTTGGTGTCAATTGTATTCTCTTATTAACATTCTTAACGTCCTGATTTTTGGGCTTCTTAGAATCCTTCAGCTGTTTAACTTTGTACCAGGTGTCTAAATTAAACTGACCTTCTCCGTCCAGAACCAAGAACCTGTCATTGCGTGTCTTGCCGTCAGTTCCAGTGTACAGATAATGCTTCAGCGGTACCGGCCGCTTAAGAGTGCTTATTACAAACATTTTTCGCTTCTTTATATTGCCAACCCAGTTGGCAAATATCAGCGGATTTGGAACTGTCGCTGACAGCATAACAATATTGACATTAGGCGGTAATAAAATTACAATTTCTTCCCAAACATGTCCACGGTTTTCATCATTTATATAATGAACTTCGTCGAAAATTACATACTCAAGATCTCTTAGTACCTCGGATGCATTGTACAACATTGTTTGAAGAATTTCAGTCGTCATAATCAAACAATTAGCTGTTTGATTTATTTGAATGTCTCCGGTAACTAATCCAATACTTTCAAAGTGTTTGTTGCGTTTAAAGTCGCGGTACTTTTGATTGGACAAGGCTTTTATTGGCGAGGTATAGATTACACGGGTCATGTGTCTTTGACTTAATGCGATTGCGTACTCAGCAACTGTTGTTTTGCCAGCAGAAGTGTGAGCAGCTACAAAGACATTGCAGCCCTCTTCCAGCTTTATGATAGCTTGTTTTTGGAAGGTGTCGAGCTCGTAGTCAAAAGTAATGGCTGGTTTTGGCACACGTTTGTCGAAATCTGGAACCGGTACTGAAACGTCCAGCTGCTCAGCCCACTCTGCTAGCATTGATTTGGGTTTCTCCACGAGTTTTAGCACTGGAATATGCGAATCGTCGATTACAAGATCGTCAATCTCTTCAAGATTCGCGGCAGTGTCGTCGAATTTTTTTATCTCTTCTGTCTCGGTTGAGTTAGAAGACGACCAGAGACCTAGTTTGTTGCCTTCTTCATTGACCATCGCCATTAAATTGACTTTTTCTAGCTTGCCTTTGGGCTTTTTCTTGTGGTGGTTTTTCGGCTCGTCTTTGGCAATGTCTTTCGGAGTGCAATTGTCGTTTCCAAACTCAACACCAGCTAGGAATCCTTTTGCTAGAGTACGTAAATTATTTTCTAGGTCTAGGTTCGATGTCGAGACTGTCTTGAGGACATCTGGCTCGTCGAATCCACCCGGCCAGAATGGGAAGTTACTCGAATTACCTGAAAATTAATTATTTAAAATTTTTATAAATTAATTATTAAATTAACAGCCTTGCAGTCACTATGTGACTGCCGTGATTTGTGAAATATAAATAAATAAAATTTTACTTTATTAAATAATGACTTTTGTTAAATTGCACTGTACTTTCTTAAATATTGACGTTTTTAAAGATATAAGCTCATCCCGATGTTACACTGATCAAGAGCTTTCATTTGAGTACCCACATGCATTTTTATATATTTTTCATATATTCATATATATAATATATATAAATATATGAAAAATTGATGTGGATACTCAAATGAAAGGCTTCTATGAGTGTAACATCGAAATGAGCTTATATCTTAAAAAATGTCAATAGTTCACAAGATACAAACTCCATTTCTTAATTATTGACATTTTTTAAGATATAAGCTCACTCCGGTGTTACACTCATCAAGAGCTTTCATTAGAGTACCCACATGCATTTTGATATATTTTTCATATATATACATATATATATATATATATATATACATATAATATATATATATATATAAATATATGAAAAATTGATGTAGGTACTCAAATGAAAGGTCTAGATGAGTGTAACATCGGGATGAGCTTATTTCTTTGAAAATGTCAATAGTTCACAAGATATAAGGTCATTTGTTAATTATTTTGCTTATTCTCTTAATAATATAGATAACTAATAAATTACAACCTTGAACGCCTTCCATTGGTGGACCAGGTGCTCGCGACATTGACATCGAGTTTTTGGCATTCTCGCCGGCTCCCAGAAGGACATCCTCCCGCATATGGGTAATCCGTCCAGTAATCGGGTCCCGGTCATATTTTAACACTGTACCGAGAGGTGACAAATCATACTCTAGAAGCGACAAAATATTCGGCTCCCGAGGCCAGTACAGCTGGACATTTTCCACCTGGTGAATCGGTAGTTTCTCCGGGCACTCGATGTACTCGCATAATTCATCTTTGATGTCCGGCAAAATTGGCGGCGCACCACAGACCTTTAATAAATAATAATTAAATATTTATTAAGAAATGAATACATTATTTTTTAAATAATACATAAATAAATAAATAAATAAAATAAAGAATGATTTTTTACAACAATTATTTATTATTTATTAATCCTAACCTCAGTCAAAATTTCCTCTGCCGATAAGCTCATTGTAAATTTCAACCTGTTGAATTTTTAAAATTAAAAAATAATTTTATATTTTAATGTCATAATTGTTAAGAATATATTTTTAATAATATATATTTAATTAAATATAAATTTATATTTATTTTATATATTCCGGGTTATTCTGTTGTAAAAGTCTGAAGTTGTTTACTTGTTTAATTGTGTTTTTGTTTCACACTGACATCTACAGTAAAGTTATATAAAAATTATTTTCAAATAATTATAATTAAAAATAAATTAATAATCAATACTATTATTATTATTATAAATAAAAAAAAATTTTTTCAATAATACTTTCAATAAATTACTTAAAAATTAAATATTTGAAAATAAAAAAAAAATTTTTTTTTTCTTATATTTGGTAGCACTGAAATTCATTCATTTGATTTCTAACGTACTTTAAAGATTGTGTGTGGTGTAAACAACTCTCCATTTGTGTTTTTACATCACAAGTAAATATTTAATGTTTTAAAAGAAAATTATATATATTTTTTATAGTATAAATAATAAATTATTAATTAAAATTCCGTCAAATTTGTGACAAAAAAAACTTTTTTTTACAAAATAGTGATAAAAAAAAATATATAAAAATGCCTGGAATAAACAATTTAAAGGAGTTAATTAGACAAACCTTCGATGAAACCCAAGCTAAGAAAACTTGTCACAAAAAACACGTTGAAAGACTAACCAAAATATTAAACAACGTAAGTATTTATTTTTAATTTAAATTATCCTAGCTTTCAAAATCAGTCAGAAAATCTATGAAAATTAAGTTAGCCGACATCTAAAAATTTTTACAAAAAAATTTTATTCATTAAAAACTTGAAAAACTATAACTCCAATTTTTAAAAAATATTTTTTGATTCTAATTTTATTAATGAAAAAAAAAAAAATTTTAAACGTCAGCTAATTTTAAAATTGTAAAAAATCTAAACATAACCTACTGTTTAATTTTCAGCATGACCTTGAAGAATTCACAAAGACTTTCATAAAATTTGTACAACTCGCAACATGTGCAGGGGAAACAAATCCTCATGCAGAAAATTTTTTAGACTTTACCGTAAAATTTTCAATGAGCCTCCCTCCTCATGAAAACCTTGACGAGTCTCAGACAGAGGATGAAGACGACGATTCCGTATCGCTCTCAACCTTCGCGTTAAAAATCTTCAATTATTGCCAAGAAAAACACGAAGCACAAGACAAGACAGTAAGAATGCGAATTTGCCAATTGATAAATAAAATGTTAAGGTCGATGCCCGACAACGCGATAGTAGACGATCTACTATTTGAAAGTCTCCAAAAAGTTTTGATCTCACGTTCCATCGACAAAGCTCCCAAAGTCCGAGCCCAAGCCATGGCTGCGCTAGGACGTCTCCAGGAGCCAGATAATCCCGACTGTAAAGTCAAACAATTGTATTTTTGCCATCTCAGAAGCGACCCTTGTGCTGAAGTTCGTAAAATAATTATTGAGAATCTAAGCGCAAACCGTGACAGCATAAAAGAAGTTAGCTACAGAATTAACGACGTTCAAGAATCTGTCCGCAAAGCTGCTTATTTATTCATCAGTAAAATTAGGATAGACACTTTTACTATAAAACAGCGTGTAAGATTCTTTAAAGAGGGGCTAAATGATCCGTCTAAAAAAATCCAAGACGTAGTCCGCAATAAATTGTTAAAAACTTGGTGCGAGTATTTTGACAACGAATATTTAAGATTTTTAACAGCTCTAGACCCTCAAACCTTTCAAAAAACTTCAGTACAAGTTTTAAACCTCATATTCGAGCAATCAGAGCGCGATAAATTGATCCAACAGCTTCCACTGGAGCTGGAGAGTAAGTTAATTCCAGTAAACGCACTGACGAGCGAGAATGTTTTGTACTGGCGATGTTTAATAGAATATCTTTGCAAAGAATCTTGTGAAGAAAAGCTGGAAGAGTGTCGCCCGGAGCTCACGCATTTTTGTCAGTATATTCACGAATATCAAGCGATGATGGCTAGCAAAAGCTTCACACCTCTAGAAGTAGCCACGCAGGAATTTATTCTGTCCCAGCTGTACAATATCGCGAAGAGTTACGACCTGAGTGACGAAGTAGGACGCAGGAACCTGGACAAGCTTATCTGTGAGACTTTGCAGAGCGAGAAGTGTTCTGTTGCAATCACAGAATTGATTACTCTCTACTACGAGAAGGTCGAGCAAGACGTCGACAGGCGGTTGGAGAATCTAGCGCATATTATCAGTGAAATTCGGATGCCTACTACTAAGTCCAGTGTGGAAGTAGAAGAGATCACTGATAGTCAGCAGCACGAGCGGAAAATGCTTCAAGCGAAAAAGCAGATTAATTTGCGCCTTCTTGAAGAGCAGCTGTACTGCAAGACAGAAGAGCGAGATTTTATTGGGGCTCAGAAATTAAAGGAGAAGATTGATGAATTGACGGAGGAAATAAAACACCTGGCTGAGTCTGTAAACCCAGTTGCGGTGATGGAGGTTGAGAATTATGAAGAGAAAAATGACCCTGAGACTATGTTAAGGTGCTTAACAATTGCTTGTTGTATGGCTCAAGTTACTTCTGTAAGAACTCTGAACTCGGTGCTTAGGAGTCTTTATGATAATTTGGTCTTTCCTAGTTTAACACATCAAAATCGGAATGTTCATATACTGACGCTTAAAGCAGTTGGTATTTTTTCAATGCTGGATGAGAAGCTTGCTAAGGAACGGTTTTGGCATTACCTTATGTACTTTACTGAGGAGGAAAACAGCACTGATTTATGGATCATTTCTTTGAAGGTTGTTTTTGATTTACTGCTCCGTTACGGTCTTGAGACTTTTAACATCTCTAATGAAGTCGACAGCACAGTTAATATTACGGGTAATAATACTCAAAGAAGCAGAAAAAGTGGCTCGTCACATCGCTTGTACAGCAATACTTCCGCGAGCTTAATTGCTGAGAGTCTGGTGTCTGATATATCTGAAAATTCTGAGAAAAATTTGATAACTATCATGACGGCTTTGTGCGATAATAGCGATGAAAGCATTCGCACCATTGCTACGGAAGGTCTATCGAAGTTGCTGCTGCATCAAAGATTGTCTAGTGTGAATTTGGTGGTAAGATTCTTGATTATGTTGTTCAATCCTGCGAATGAAGGGTCCACGGAGCTTAATGGTACCCTCAAGACTTTCTTCAAGTACTATCCTACTGTGGTGCCGAATAGTCAGGAAGTATTGGAACGGGCTTTCATGCCTACTCTAAGGATGATATGCAGAGCACCTAATGGGAGCCCTCTTATGGCCATCGAGCTTGAAAATGTTGCGGCTTTTATTTTGCAGCTGACAGATTGCACGCTTGTAAAATCGAGGTCTGATTATACGGTTCATAATAATTTAGCTGTTGTTATTCTTGCTGCGGCTCTTAATGATGATGAGGAAATTGACCGCAGTGTTCTGCTCAAGTGCTTGAAGTATCTTAATGTTGATCTTACTAGTGATCAGATGAAAGAAGACTTGATCTCTACGATCAATGACATCGCTGTTAATGTAAGTTATGATTATTATGCTAACGTTAGCCGACGTTTTTGATTTTTTTTTAATAATTAAATTTAAAAAAAAAAAACATTTTTTAAAAATTGCACTTACAGTTTTTAAAGTTTTTTACAAATGAAATTTTTTTTTATTATTTTGTGATAATATTTATAATAAAAATAAAAACTCTTAAAATTTTTAAATGTCGGCTAATTTAGTTTTAAATAATACTAAAGTTAGCCGACGTTTCTAATTTTTTTATTTATTAAATTGGAACAAAAAAATATTTTTAAAAAATTGCACTTAAAATTTTTCAAGTTTTTTACAAATGAATTTTCTTTTCTTATTATTTTTATTTTAATAAAAAAAATTATAAAAATTTTTAGATGTCGGCTAACTTGATTTTTATTATTTTTCATGTTATAATTATCAATTTTTATTTATAATAATAATTTTTTTTTTTTCAGCTACAACCTCACGAGAGAAATCTCAGAATTTGTATAAGTCAATTTAAAAAGAAAATAGAAGGAGTACCTGAACAAGAAGTTGATAAACAAGACGGAGCCGAGGGTGAAGGCGAAACTGAAGGAACTGAGGATGAACAGGACCAAGAGCAAGAGCAGGATCACCTGGACATTCAAGATGATTAATTAATTAATTTTTATAATTTGAGCAATTTAATTTTAACTCTTAACGTAAGACAGATATTTAAATAAATTTTGTACTCTTTTTAAACAATATTTGTTATTATTTTTAAAAAATAGTTTTTAGAATTTTTTATATTAAATGTAATAATTAGCGCAATTAGCAGCCATTCTTATCGCTGTAAGTAATTTCCACTAATAAAAACAAATTTCAACACTAGGTGGAGTTAAAATTTGTTTTGATTCAGATGCTTGGAAACTTCAAACAGAAATTAAACATCGACGTTTCTAAGAAGATTAAACTAGTATTAATAGTAAAATTAAGTGAATAAAATTAATAATGAATAATTTAGATAAACCACAAATCATTTGTCATATTGAAAAGTCAGTAGACTATTCACTGTTTGACGCTAAATGGATCCCGTGCAGCGCAAAGTTTGTGGTTATGGGCTCGACACCTCGTGGGTCCGGAGTGATACAAATCTATGAAGTTTCTAGTGGACAATTAAAACTAATTAAGAGTATCGATCGTTCAAATCCCATGAAATGTGGAACATTCAAAGCTTCTAGTTTGCGAGATCGTTTTTTAGCAACCGGCGATTTTAAAGTAAGTACAATTACATCAATAAAATTTAAGTTTTCAGTCACTCGATCACTTTTTTAATTTTTTTTAACAAACAAATTTTTTTTGAAAAAAAAATTGCAATTTTAACTTTTTAAAATTTTTACATGTCAATTTTTTTTTCTGGCAAAATTTATTTCTTACCATGATTGTTAAAATTATTAAATATTTGCTAAATTAATTTTCATACAATTCTATCATAATTGTAAAAAAATTAATGAAAATTAATTTAGTTGATATTTAATAGTTTTAAGAATTTTTTTTTAAAATAAATTATATCATGATATTAAAGTTAGCAGTCTTAACAATTTTTAAATTTTATTTAACAAACAAATTTGTTCTAAAAAATTACTTTTTAAAAATTGTATTTTTAATTTTTTAAAATTTCTACATGTCAATTTTTTTTTGGCAGAATTTATTTAAAAAAAAAATTTTAGAAATTGTTTGTAAAAAAAATAATCAAAAAATATTCAAGACTGCTAACTTTAATTTAATAAAAAATGAATCTAACTTGACATATTTTTTCAGGGAAAATTGAATATTTATAACCTGGAAGATGCATCGGTGCCAGTTTACTCAGCAAACGCACACAGCGAAATAATAAACGCAATTGATGGTGCTGGGGGTCAGAGTGTTGGCCATGGAGCTCCTGAGATAGTGACTGGCTCAAGGGACGGCAGTGTCAAGGTCTGGGACCCCAGGCAAAAAGGTCGACCTGTCGCTGTGTTTGAACCCAAGGAAGGTGACAGCAGACGTGACTGCTGGTCTGTCGCATTCGGTAATTCTTATAACTCAGAGGAACGTGTCGTGGCTGCTGGTTACGACAATGGAGATGTCAAGATGTTTGATCTCAAGGCGATGTCTCTCCGCTGGGAGAGCAATCTCAAGAACGGTGTCTGTGGTCTTGAGTTTGACAGGAAAGATATCCCGATGAACAAGCTCGTCGCTACGACTTTAGAATCAAAATTTTATTTGTTTGATCTCAGAACTCAGCACCCGAAACGGGGGTTCGCTTATCTCACTGAAAAAGTAAGTAGCTTTTTATGACACTAACATTTTATGTTGATTTTCTTAGATAAAAATTTTATCACAATTTTAAGAAGTTAAATATAATATTAAAGTAAACTAGTACCTTTTTTAATTATTTAAATATTTTTCAAGGCTCATAAATCAACAGTTTGGTTGGTAAAACATTTACCTCAGAATCGTGAAATATTTATGACTTGTGGCGGGGGTGGATCTTTGTGCCTTTGGAAATAGTAAGTACATTTTTTTTTTTTATTTATTTTTTTATGATATTAAAATCAGCAGACATGTGACAATTTTTACTATAAAAAAAATATTTTATGACATTAAAGTTAGCAGTCACTTGATAATTTTTTAATTTTTTTTAATTAACAAACAAATTTGTTCCGAAAAATCATTTTAAAAAAGTTGCTTTTTTAATTTTTTTTAAATTTCTACATGCCAATTTGTTTTTTCGTTTTTTTTTTGCTATAATTTAATTGTTAAAAAAATTATTAAAATTATAAAATATCTGCTAAATTAATTTTCATAAATATTTTTAATAAATTTGCTTGTAATTTTTTTTAATCTCTAAACATGGAATTTTTTCATAAAAATTTAATTTTTATATAAATTTTAAAATATTGACAGATATTCATTAATTTCACCATCATATTCTTTCAAAAATAAAAAATAAGTGTTAATTGCTCATTTTTCAATTAATAGTAATTACCCAGAGAAGAGGAAACAAATGGACGTGGATGGAATAGCCTACGGAGTAGTTGGAAGTGTTGATTTATTACAAAATAATATAATATCCTCGCAACCTATCAGTTCATTTGACTGGTGTCAAGATAAAGCTGGTCTTGCCGTCTGCACGTCATTTGATCAGTGTTTAAGAGTCCTTGTTACCACCAAATTAAATCTTTATTAATTTATAAAACATTTTATTATTTATTTTTACTAGTTTTAATTTGAAAGTTGCTTGAGAAAATATTTTTAATGCAATGTTAACAATGGAGGACTTTGAAATACGTTACGAGCAAATTTTAATTATTAAAAACTCAACTAGCAGCGCCTCTATTGGCGAAAAATATTTTTGGCGCCGAAATGAAGTTTAAAATTTTAGTTCGCTTCAGCTGTTAGAGGCGCTGCACTCGTTTCGGCAAAAAAAACAGGTGCACAGAATACACTCGAAAAATTACTATAATTATAGTTTAATTACAACGAAAAAATTAAATATTAGATAGTAAAATAATATTTTGATATTTTTTATGAACAATAACTTGATCTTGAATTATAAAGTTTATTTTTTTTACTTGTTTATTTTATCGAACTATTTGTGTTGGTTAATAAAATAATTTTGAATATACAGTACAATTTAATTAATCATAAATAATAAATTAAACCATAATAAAGTAATTAAGTACCGGGTACTGTCTTAAATACGTACGGATTTGAATCAGCTGATTAAAAAAGTTTGTAAAATGGCGGGTGTGCTGTTTGAAGATATTTTTAACGTAAAGGACATCGATCCTGAAGGAAAAAAATTCGATCGGGGTAAGTGAATTTTAAATGTTATATTTTTTATTAATAAGTGTTTTATAATTTGTGTGAGTGGAAATTCCCAGAGATTCAAAGTTTGTGTCATAAAATTCCGATTAAAATACCGACAACAACACGGCGTTATTCCGTATCAGCCGCTTGTGTATATATATATGTATAGTATTTATTTGATGTTGAGAACATTCCAGTAACCTTGAACTAAATGATACAGGTTTTGTTTTCATAGATTTGTAAATCATGATTCAGCGTTAGATAATTTTTTTTATCACTTAGAAATCTATTTTTGTAGCATCTGTTGATGTCAAACAAAATATTATGTCAGGTATGGAATTTTTTTTCATTCACTATTGTTACATCTAATTAATCCAATTATTTTATTATTATTTTTATTTGATATCATTATTATATTTTATATAATATAAAATTATATACTTACTTCAAAAAATGATTCTAAGCTTATTTTTATCAAAAATTAAGGATTTAAATAATAATAAAATTAGCCGACGTTTATAATTTTTTTATTTTTAATTTATTAAATTAGAACTAAAAAATATTATAAAGAAATTACACTTATAGTTTTTCAAGTTTTTTATAAATAAAAATTTTTTTTAATTTTTTGTAATAATTTTTTTAATAAAAAAAAATTCTTATTTATATAAAATAAAAAATAAATATGAAAATTAAGTTAGCAGACATCTAAAAATTTTTAGAATTTTTTTTTATTAAAAAAATTATTACAAAAAAATAGAAAAAAAAATTTTCATTTGTAAAAAACTTTAAAATCTATAAGTGTAATTTTTTAAAAATATTTTTTTGTTCTAATTTAATTAAAAAAAAATCAAAAAATGAAAAACGTCAGCTAACTTAACTTTTATAAAATAAATTTGTTTTCAAAGCTATAAAAAGCTAGAAATTAATATCCGTTAATCAGAACCGTTTATCTAAAAGTAAACATTGAAGATTGCGCAATGATGCACAATTTAACCGAATCGTTAATGCTCTTGCGTCAGCTATGTAGGTGACAGTGCATATATGTATTTTGCACATAAAAAGAAAAACTATATGTACATATAAATCCATCAAGATTAAAAACTCTGAAATAAAATATCTACGGAAAATGTTTTCATCAGCCAAGATAAAACGTCCTTTAAAGTAATGTAAATATAAATATAAATTTATGAATAACCAGTGCAGAAGCAAAGAATAGATATATAAAAAAAAAAACATCCGCAGGGAGTTTCTCTCGTTATCATACGACCCAGTGAGTCACGAGATGAAATCCAGTCAATTTGATAGACATTCTGATGCATAAATACACAGAAAAAAAAAATTACTTGAGCCAAGAAAATATTTCTCTTCCTAATTATTTTCTTGAGTGAAAAAAAAATTTTTTTTGTCACAAGAAATTTCACCTACTCCAACAAAATTAATTCTCTTGCTTTGAGGAATACGTATCTCGATCCAAGAAAATTTATTTAAGTCAAGAAAATTCAGCCTCTTGCTCCAAAAAATTTAGTTCTTGATAGAAGTAAATTTTCTTGTCTTGAGAAAATTTCTCTCTTGCTCCAAAAAATTAAATATAAAGATAGAAATTTATTTTCACTAATATTTTTATTGATTAACATGTCAAATGGGAAGATTAAATAATATTGAATCATTTTTTTTCATTCAATATGTATAATTTCACGCTAAAATAATATAAAATGGGTATCAAATATTCAAGAGAAAAATTTTCTCAAGGTGAGAAAATTTTTTTCTCAGCTGAAGTAAGTGGCGCGACTTCCCTAAAGTATTTAAAAATCTTGATCAAATATAAAAATTTATTGTATCAAGTATTTATGATAATTTGAATTAAGAAAAATATTACTTCCACGAAGAATAGAAAATTTTCTTGAGCAAAGAATTTTGCTATCCAGTCAAGAAATTTTTCTTTCTGTGTATATAAAGAGATCTATATTCATATCATCAGCATAATCATCATCTATCCAACTATTGACATAAATACAAAGATTTTTCGCGTCGTAAATTTTTTTATTTCGCCGCGTTCTCAGTTTCCGGTCCTCAGGAGGATGCGAATCTATAATATACGTTCTCTTTGGACTTCCACGTGTAACCTAGAATCTCTTGAGCTTGTACATATATGTAGGTACAGTACATATATGCTCTTACGAGGGTGGTTTTACGATGGAAGGAAGAGGAAGAGGAAGAAGAAGAGAAAGGGGTCTGAGAGTGAACTTGTGTCTTTAGTAAGTTCTTGGCAAGCGTTTACGTTTTACTTTATCAGATATAACTATTGTCAGTGTGCTATGTACTGAGCTGGTAATGGTAATGGTAAATGTAAATATAAATGTACTTGTACTAGTGAGGGTGGATAAGAGGAGATCGGTAGACGGGGGTTACTGCGGGCCGGTCGATGCAGCGATGTTCCCGCAGCAGCGCATAGCACCAGCGCCAAAGCAACATCGCATTTGCCGTTTTATGGCCCAATATATGTACGTACTTCGCACATGTATTTGTAGAATATGTATTCTTTGGTACGTACACTATCGAGCTACAAAATCCAGTTGAGAAGCAAAAACAAGGAGCTGAGAGTTGGAAAAAGACCGATTTTAACGAGAAGAGGGGCTAAACTCGTATTCGCAAACTACAACTACAACTAAACTGTTAGGTTGATATTGCTGGTGATGCTGATGACTGTGGTGGGGACTGACACGGTCAAGGTCACTCTTGGCTTCAAGGTTGCGCTGGAGATGTCATCTCGACGGGGAAATGCAGAACCGGGTATATTATACACTAGTGTATTGATGTTTCCAGTGGTTGCTTTTTTACACTCCAAAATTTATCTATTTAATTCTCCACCGGAACTCGGTGCATTTATATTCATTTCTCGGGAAAAAATTCATAGATCTATTTATTTATTCAAATTTATCATCGGTATCAAAGCTTTACTTTTTGAATTTTTTAAATTATGCTGTGAATTTACATTCACTTTTTTTAAAGTAAAATCATCAGCGTTCACTGATAGAAGGATTTGTTTATATTTAATAAGCTTTATTAACTGTTAATAAATGATTTTTTAACATCATAGAATTTAATAAATATTTATTAACAGTTAATAAATTATTTATTAAATATTTATTAATGGTTTATTAATATTTGCTAACTTTTAACAAATATTTATTTAAAATAAAAAGCAAAACTAGCAATTTTCTTTTTACACTTTTTATAACTCTATAGAATACATGATAATAATTCAATTAACTAAATAAATTAATGTTTTTAATACTTAAAAATATAAAAGATAATTATGAGCTGTGATAGAATTTAGTATTTTACAATAAACGTTATTATAATGTAATATAATTAATGCAAATAATTTATAAAGATGATTTTTATTTATAAACAATCTTCATATTATATGACATTGCAAGCGAAACAAATTCAATGTTAAAAAATATTTATTAAAATTTAATAAATTAAATAATTCTCTTCAAATAAATTAAATTATTAATAGTTAATAAATTCTTCTATCAGTGGTCATTTAGAAACTATTTTTTTTTATCGATTCGGGTGAATTATTTAAATAAAAAGTTTGCTTAAATAATTGTCGAGTTGACACTAACATAAAGCACGAGCTTAAAATCAATATTTTTATTTAGTTTGGAATTAAACGAAACTTTAGCTTTATTATTTTAAAAAGTGACACTGCTCGTTAAGCCAAAGAATCTCGTTGCGGTAAATGTACGACGTAATTATTATTATTAATTATAATTATCCGTAATTAATACCGAAGTTTCTGGTACAGCGATTGTGTGATAATTTGTAGTTAGCACAGGATATAGCATAATTAACTTCATTTTTTCTCCAAAACGATCAATGTCATGGTTTGCCGCAGAAACATTTGTTCTTTTAATTTACAATACAATAATTTAAATACTTCTTCTTTTTCTTCTAATATAAAAATACATTGTTCAGGTAGTTAGTGTCATTAAAATGTCTTTAGTTTTGGTGAACATCCCACAATGATAACAACTAGATACCCTCCGGGTTATATTTATCTTAAATAAGGAAGAAATAGAGAAATAGATAGAGATGTAAGAAGAAATAAGACCAAATGGAACATAATAATATCCTCGACGGTAACATGAACCGTGAGCTTCAAGTCACGTGCTTGTGTCGTAATGCGATCCATGTTTTTTACCATTTATTTATTATTCTGGTTTCTTACACACGTGTACCGATCTCGATACAATATATATAATCCAAATACAAGACATACAAACATGTAAGTACGCTATTGCCGTGGTAATATATAATACATTGCTATTGACTATTGTATTTATATCAGAAAAAGTCTTTATATTCCGTGCAGTGACGTTTATAAGATTTTAGATGTAGATC